TGTATTTTCATTTTTTTTTAAAAAAAAAAAAAAAAAAAAAAAAAAAAAAACTCATTAAACCCATACCCTTACCGTACCGTAGTCGGCCCCAACTCTGCCACGCCACTCTCGTCAAATTGTAGTAATCGAGACACTGAGTTAAAAGAGCCTGTTTGGGAGTGATTTTGAGAATTGATTTTTTGATCGTTAGAAAAAAAGTGTAGTTCACCTGTGAGAGAAGAAGTCAAATATGACGATTGAAATAGTAAAATAACGGTCAAAAAATCAATTTTTTTGACCAAAAAACCACTCCCAAACAAGTTGAAAATCTTGTTTATTATACTACACATATTTATATACATAACATTGCATTATAATTTTTTACCTTATGGTCATGGGGTGAAGGAAGCCTGATAAGTTTAAAGTACATAGAATTGGGCTTTATTCTCTGCCCTAAACTATTTGTAATTGTGCCATCATTGGATTTTCAAGTAGATAGGGAAAAAAATAAAAAAAATTAGAAGTTGAAAAACTAAAGAGAGTTTGTAGTGTTTTTTACTGAATTAGTGTCATCATGATCAATCAATTTGATTTTATTTCATCATAACCACCTATTTCTTATAATGTTTTATCATGTACACATAATTTCATATAACATTTCATCATGGTCACCCAATTTCTTTTCACGATTTCACTAACCATAAAAGGAATAAAACGATAACTTTGTATTATATGTACAAAAAATAATAATAATAATAATAATAATTGGATGGACATATTGACATTAAGTATAAAGTTGGATGATTATGGTGACACAAATTGAGTGTTCACGATGACACTGAGTGTAAAGCTAAGTGGCAATCAATGAATTTAACCCATTTAGAATAGTCATTACTACATTATTTTCAGAAGTGATGTACTTTCGCTCATATTACTTAATAATTGGAGCCTTTAGTTTCTTCTCGCAGCAAGTTTTGCAACGAAAAATTTCTGAATTTTAGTTCACAATTAGATCAATGAAAATTTAGTTCTAGCGACAATTGGTCAGTTCATATAATTTTTTAAAAGTGCTTTATATGATGAAAGTTCTTCTAAATAACTAAGGTAACTTTCCTAAGAAGCTCTTCTATAAAAAGTAAAAACAAAAACAAAGCAATGTCAAACAAGCCCTTAATTGGCTGAAAGATGTAACATTTATAATGCTGTGAAAAAAGTTTCTTTTAAGCAGACGTAAGCTTCCCAGCTTAAGGAAATTACACTGTCCAATGTCGAAGAATACGAAATGCATGTGCGCTATCATCAGCTTTTGATAACTTTTTTCAAGCCCTCTACTGTGAAAAGCTAATTAATGATGGATGAATATTTTTTCCTTGTGTACAAATGAATGCTCCAAACTTTCTTGATCAGATTCAGATTTTCATCCACTAAAAATCAGAATCCCATAAATGATGAATCAAAGGCGATTCTTGGCGATCTCGAGGAAAACCCATGATAGTAGGAAATGATATAGATGGAGCTGCAGAGAGACTGACGTATTTTTGGAAGAAACAGAAATGGCAGAGGCAAAATGTTTCATTGTAGAAGCTTTTTACTGTTTGATAAGAACAATCGTGTGGATTCTGGGACACAAAATGAATCTTACAAATCTCTCTATTGTACACAAGATTCAAACCCTAAACCTAATAAACTGCAGGTTTATTTTCCAAACAACAAGTTGTAGGACTTGGTTGGGAGCCCGGGGGGGGGGGGGTCGTAGATGGGTTGGTGGGGGTTCTACTGTTTTTCTTAGCAGTGCAGGTATTGAAAAGCTGAATATCTCTACAAGGAAGCCCAACATCTTTATTAATGTCTGGATCCAATATGAGATAGAAATGTTTCTCACTGTTCTTGATATCGCAAGCATTGATATATACACAGGATGAGAGATACGCACAGAGCTAAAGGGGCAAGATTCAAATTTGACACACACATATAGATGAACTGTAAGTGCCGACCTACTTGAAGTAGACATTTAGCTGAAAATCTACTTATTATCTGATCTTTTGAATTTGACAAGAAAAAACCCTTACGATAATGACTCCTCTTAACTGTATTTCTTATCATCAACTTGACTCTTTAGACAAATTAAGAAATATCGATTTATTAAGAATCAGTTTTTCACAGTTGTTTTAGTGTATATTAGAGTCACTTTGAGAAACGTCCAAGTGTACACCAAGAGATAAATATTTTAACAAGGCCCTTTTCAGAAACCAAAGGCTATAGAATTAGAAATTAGACACACCAGAAATAAAGAAAGTGGTCCTCAAGAGCAAACAGACTAATCAAGGAATTAAGAATAAGTGTAGCTCAGTGAGGGAATAACAGTAGACTTAATTTTACTATATAATCAATTTTTTTCCCCCTTGACAGTTAATAATTACTTCACACAAGTTTATTCTTAATGATGAACAATCCCACAGAATAAATAACTCTTCACATGAACATTCTTATCAAGTCTAGTACTTGTAGACTAATTAAACAAGACTTATAATCTTTGTCTAATTATTAAAAACCACCCAAATAATGTTCTTTTTAGGATAATAGGACTCAGTCTAGCTAGAAGAATGCATGTGAGGCTAGCTAGAGGCCATGACAAGTAAGATAAGAATGCATATAATTCCTCTAGGGGGGGACATAAACCCTAGATTTATAGGTGATGTACCCTTAAAAATTTCCATCTGCACCTCCCCCATGTATATTACCAGAAGGGTTGTGACCATTCCATGGAGGAGGATATGGAAAGTAGAAGTCTTGGGGTGTTTGATAAATGTTGCCACCACTTTCATTGCCAATCCTTACCGGCCTCTGGCGGGGTGCTACCATGGAATGAAATGAATTAACTACTCGAGTGGAGGGTAATCCAGTCGGAATCTCATTGCATGTCAAGCGAGTTAAGTCTGCATTAGCTGCATCAAGTTCCTTTTGAAGGCGCTCGACTTGTCTTTGGAGGAAGGTGATGGCACCAACGCAGCCGTAGACTGGATCTCGGACTCGGGCTTCGGCTTCATAGGCAAGAGAGTTCACTGCATCTTCCCTCTGCTGAGGGAGAAGCTCATTGAGGAGCTTGGTAACGTTGCTTGCACCGAAAATCTTGTGCACATTTGCAAATTTTTGTGGCTCCTCTGGTGGGAAGTATGGTGCAAAAATGCAACCTGGCATGCATTTTCTCCTCAAGAATTTGCAGGCTGCACAGGGAGAGTTGTATGAACTGGATGAAGCCATTTTTCACTGCATCATTGAGAAATAACAAGTAAACCCATTAAACATTTTTCTTTAACTTAATTTATTTAGATTGCATTAAAATCCACTAAATATTCTTCTTCCTGTTTCAGTAAAAGTCACTCTGTGTTTCTGGCACTTTGTGGTAATAACAGAACTTTGCAGGTTGTGTAAATATTCCTCAGACAGATTGGAGTGGAAGATCATAAGTCCAGTTGCAAATCTCTCTCTCCCTCCCTTCGCTACAAGAAATTAGACTTTCAACGAACAAAAATTGTTCCATCGTAAAAAATCATTTTTGAGTTGTTTCGTCAAACAAGGATCGTTGAGAAACATTTGAAGACAAAATTTCGTTAAAAGCTAAATTTCTTATAGTTTCTCTCTCCATACAAGCTCAAGTACCAGTAGTGCTTGCTTAGTTATTGACAAGAATATTGATTCTCAAGAACATAAATTTTTTTCTTCTTATTCTTTTTGTTTGTTAATTCCTCACACTAATCTCGCAGGGATTACCAAGAATTTGCATGTTTTTCTCTTCTGTAAATCTAAAATTCTAAATTTATGAGTATTCCACAAACAGAAAGAAAACAAAATGCTCTAAGTATGTTCAAACTGTATCAAAATTCGAGTAATATTACACAGCTTCTTTTCTTTTCTTCTTATAATAATCATTTTGAAACTGAAAATTTTGTTGTAGTTAATATTCAACAGTTCCATAAAGTTCTTGCATATTTCAATAATTTGTTTGTTAAACATGGATCTAATTACAAAAGGTTGATCAATGTACAAGCAAGAAAACCCTAGATCAAGCTCTGTAACTTACAAAAAGCTATTTATTTTTGTATTTGCCTTTTCAAAAGAAACATATAACTAAAACAAAGTGAACAAATCTAAGAGAAGCTGTAAAGGGATTTCAAGAATTTACCTGTATGGTCCAGTTTCATTGATCAGAAGAAGAAAAAAGATAAAGAAAAAACTACCTTTTTATCCTTGGGATCTCTTCCAAGAAATTGGTCTTTCTTGCTTCAAACTGCAAACTGCACAGATTTATTGCTACAAGTCCTCAATTGGAAACCCTAATTGGAGGAGAAAAAGTTTAAGCGTGTGCCTGCAGATTCAATAGAAAAAAGGTAAAATAGAATGGGATGGAAGGGGGCAAAGAACATTTTAGTGGATGGAGAAGGAATGAATGATGAAGATAAAAGGCAAAGGTAATAAATGAGAGGTACACTATAAAAGATGACTATGACACTGCATCTAACAATTTTATTATAGCTGTGGGGATATGTCACTAGTTTTATTGCCTTACTACCCTATTGCTCTTTGCCTCTTTAATTCTCATGCACACTGAGACAACAGAAAAATCTCATAATGGTTTTTCTATTATATATGTACAAGTAGATAAATCCAGGTATTTTCTCAATTCTTCAGTAGTATAGTACATATAGCCAACTCATCTTTCTGTATTTTTTTTTTGTCCACTGCCCTTTTCTGACCCTTGTAGGAAGTACTTGAGAACAATTATTAGATTGGAGGTCAAGAACACAACTCATGTGAACATTTATTGAAGTGAAATGGCGCGGGAATGATAAAAAAGTCTTGGGCAGTCGACATCAAATTTATTGATAACAAGACTACTTTATTTAGTAATTTAAGTGGCGATCTTGCTACATTGCCAGACAATTTGTGGCATTTTGTCATTGACCAATTTAAAAAAAATCAACATTGCCGTCCAATCACTTATTGACACACCTCATTCTGTTATCCACGATGTTAAAAAACATCTGGTCAAGTAGATCAATTATTTAAGTGGAGCAGATTGATGAGAATATCCACTTTTACATTAGGCATTGAAGTCAAACAAGATCACAAATAGCAGCAAAGGTAACTGAGATATATAAAACTTTTTGAACAGACTGAGTAGAATCTATACATCCTCCCATCATCAGAGACCTAAAAAAATGAAGAATATCGAGCCATAGGGGTACAATATTCTCATTCCAAGAAAGTGTTTTAGTTTTAGTATAAAAATAAGTCAGCACAGTTCATTTACTAGAAGGCGCATAATTTTATTTGCTTGGTCAAAAGAAGTGGGCAGGTGCAAGGATGAATATATTCTGCCATCACTAATGGAAGAAATTGCACAATACTGTGGTAATTTTCAGACATTTTAATTATAAATTTTGTTACAACTTTATAGGATATGGAATATGTACATTATCTTTTGATACTGTTAATCTCGCTACTTTACTCCTCACAAAGGAAATAATGCAGCTCATCATCTAATTTCTTCTATTATTTTGTCCTTGGCATTTTCAACTGGATTGGTTGAATTTTGTAGCGTGGTAATTTTAGATATTTTAATTGTAAATCTTGTTCAACTTTGTTGGATATGGAATATGTACATTATCTTCAGATAGGGTGTTTGTTGAAAATAGAACTATATGGTTTGCTATTCATTTTGGGTGGATAATTTTTACCTTGCTTGGAATAGGGTTCCTTATTTTTCTAATACATTGTGCCCTATCCGAAGAAAAGAGAAATATGCACACTACATTTTTTTAATAGAAACGCCATCTAGCCGGGATTTATAGATCTTCACGAGTGTTTGCATTGTCCGATTATGTTTGTTTATAAAGAATTGATGTACACATGGGAGGGGGTTATCGATGTTATCTCTAGAGTCACAACTAGAGGCGAAGAAAAAAGTTTTGAATAGACAAATCTTAATTAAAGCATTTGAAGTTAATTATTGGAGAATCCCATATTTAATTGCTGAGGCATTCCAGAAAATATGTCTTCAGTGTTTCCTTGAACATATATAGTTACTATTATTATTTTGTCCATGAAGCAAAGAAACTTGGCCTATGTTTGAGCTCTATATTTTGTTGAAAATGAATATTTTAATTGCGAATTTTTGGAAAAAGTATGATTAAAAAGGAGGAAGAAATTTTGAAATTATATACAAAATATTTTATTGTGAGAACGTGGGATTAAAAATGAATTAATGAAAAAACAAGTTACAAAAAAAAAATGGGGAAAAGGGCTAAATTATTGCAATATAATTATTATTCTTCTGAACATTATTAATTAAAAAATCTCCCTTAATTTGCTAAATAAAGTTGATTCAAGATTTTCTGCTGACAAATTAGTCTAGACAAATTTCTTGTCAACGTTTCTATCTCCAACCCTACAACGAAATTTGAGATAAATCTTGCATCATTTTACATCGAATCTTGTACCAAACTAAAAATCATCTCTAACCATTACGCCAAAACTTACACCTAATGAACGGTATTTAGCTTTTTTCTTCTCTCTTTTTATTCTTAATATTTATTTATTTATTTATTTTACTAATACATAAATTACTAAATAAATAATTACGTTAAATTAACAAAAATATTAAATTCACTTTGCACCATTTAGCACTAAAATGCTTTAAACTTTGGTGCTATATTGGAGGTCTTTTTACACCAACATTTGGTGTGTTTTGGTGTTTTAGTATCTCCTTTGGTCAGAAAAATTAAGAATTAAAGAAATATATAGTAGTAGTTGATAATCAATATATCAAGCCCATCAGGGGCGGACCCAGACGTCTAGTATTGTGGGATCAAAATTTTAAAAATAATTTTTTTAATAAACAACATAATATCAATAAAAATAAGCTAATATGTATTTTGACACTTTGAAAACGTCGTATAATTACATCATTATTAATATTATTAAATAAATTTTGCTACTTGTATAGTTTTGTTTATCATTTCGTTGGTAAATGCTGAGCTAACATTGAGTAAATTAAATTGAATATAGAAATTAAATGAATTGAAATAAAATTTAAGTTTAGTTCAGGAAGTAAATGAAATTCAAATTTAAAGCAAACATATATAATTCGAAAGTAATTCAAATTGCATTTAGTCCGTAACAAATCTAAAAAATTTTCGTCATATTTCATGTAAGACTTCCGAATGAAACGATATAAATTATATTGAAAATTTTATTGTGCAAAAATAATAATTAATTGAATTTTTTAAAAGAAAAAACGAGTTAGACGTCTTTTTTAAGGCGTACGTTTAATACATATTTAACTATTTTCGATATCCGTTTGGACCATTAGATATGAAAACGATGTAGTTTTCGAAACAAACTTTTATATGACATAGACGATTTGTAGATTCAGATAGCACATGATTGCAAACGAATTTTTAGAGTTAGGATATTATCGAAACTCTCAAAATATTAGTTTCAAACGGCCTATTTTAACATGTCATAACTTTTGCTATAATTGACCACTTCACATGCCATTAATGAGTGAAAAACTAGGCCATGAGCACTTCGAAATGGTATTAAAAATGCAATATTTTGACTTCATTTGACTTCCCGACGAATGCATCAAAGTAGATTGAAAAAAAAAGGGCAAAATTTTATGGGGTCATTTGACCCCACATGACCTCATGTGGGTCCGCCCGTGAAGTCCATGTTTGGTCCGATTCATTTTTAATTGTGCATTTTATAGTACTCACAATTTTTATCAATTTTTTAACAACACATTTTACCAATTTTTAGCAAATATACTAAAAATCTAAATTATGACAAAACCGTACAAGGGCTAAGGTAACGGTGCATATATTTTTCATAGTCAGTCTTACTTATGGATAAAGAAAATGAGTTAGCAGTCATAAAACCTTATCAAGTCTTTAACATGAATATATATATATATACAAAATTTTATTATAATAAATATAAATAAATAAAAATAAATCATGTAGTTGATCTCAAATTTATTAAACGCTAAACTTAATATATCATTATTGATGATGTTCACATTATTCAAGTCAATATCTCCCATTTAACTTTTGTACGGTTGTAATTATATTATTAAGGGTTTTAAGGGAATAAAAATTGACACTTTAGAAGTTATTTACAAGATATGAAAGTTATGTTCAATCATTTTCAACCAAGATTGCCCTAATCTGATTTAAATTCTTTTCTAATCATATTATAATGCTTCTTGAGGAAGTTATATTTTAATTAAATGGGGTAAAAAAATATAATTTTCTCGTCCATAGTGGTTAATTTTAGAGATTCTCTATACACCATCCATGGAATACAAGGATCCTACTATGTGAATATATCATATATTATTGGTGACGATAGATTTATGATGCGTGCAAATTTCCATTGAAGAATCAACTTTATAGCATTTTTAATATTTTTAGTTAATGATAAATTGGCATCGATAATATTGATTAAATAGTATTCGACAATGTTAAGAAACAAATAAACAAGTTAAAATCTCGTTTGATATAATTTTCCCCTTCTATTTTAAATAAACCATTATAGGCCAACATGATTTATTAACAATGAATAGATATATAGTACAAATTTTGAAGGTGCGCGGTTTAACCTGATTTCAAGTTAAAGGTACAAAAAATCATAAGAAACCGATATGAGGAGAAAAATATAAGAACTAAATTGCATTCGATCTCTAATTATACTTTCCCTCATCGAAGAGAGAGAGAGAAATGAAAGATGAAAAGGAAATATTTTTGGAGATCGAGATTTGATTTGGTTTCATAGAAGACAAAGTAGGTCGAGGATGGTTTACATATCAAGGAACACGCTTTTTTCTCACAGAATTCACTCATCACAAATTCTTTTCTTTTTTTTAAACCCCAAATGATTATTAAAAATATTGAATTTCATTGGCAATTTACCATTGTATTTCAAGTTTAGTAACATTTAATTGGGCCTAACCGTATGAACGTTAATTGAATAATCTCAATCCTAAAATGGCGCTCAAGTTTAAATAAAGTTGATTTCCCCTTAACTAAAGGTTGTCTTTTTTCCAGCTTTTCTGAAAAGTACACACATTATTTCTACAAAATAAATACAATCATGCTAAATTGCCACGTTCTTTGATTTAAAGTTTGACATAGTACCACATGACATTATATCATTGGACTGTTTTAACGCAATCAACTTCTCTATCAAATCATCTTCTACCACCCACCTGAAATTATGTCAAAGAATATGTTAAAATCTTCTGGTAAAGCGGCAAATTGACAACAGACTTGATGAATGGGTACGGTACCATGATTTCCAATAACAGCCAAAGTGACTTCATTACGATATCATGCTCCTCGTCTCGACCCCAATACCCAATAACTATAGGGGCTAGGCAACACGAGACGATGTGCGATGAGGACATTTTGCCACCCCTATAGATAAACATTTTAAAAGATACTTTTAAGCATATCAAATGGATCCTAAGTATCTAGTTACCAAAATTACGCAAGAGAAATCTAATGTAGGGTCCATTTTTGTGAGAAAAAAAAAAGTCCTCATATAGAGGGAAAACGTTGGACCCTTGGGTAAAATTTGATATTTAGCAAGTGCAAAATATCAACTTCATGAAAATGTATGATCAAACTAAAAACATTAAGGAAACCAAAACTTTTCTTGCAACCCCATTCTTTGCTCATTTACATTGAGCATGCTTTTATAAGCTTAAAAAGTTAAACTTACAAGCAAAAGAAGTTCTAGGATAATTAATATCTTATTAGCGAGTTAAATTAAGAGCGCCTTTAACATTACTTAAAAGATTAAAAGAAATAGTTTTTCTGTCTTTTTTTCAACAATGCCCGAAGGAAACAACTTCTTTTGGTTTTTAAGCGAAGCCACACACGCTTTTAAATAACTTATTTTGACATGTTCGGAAACAAAAAATTATTTAAAGGTACTTACATTTTTAACCTTAGCATGGTTGTACCGAGCACCTATAAGTACCATTTTCCTATACTGGAAGGAAGAGAAGAATAATTAGGTGAAGAATGGCCGGTGAATATATATAGGGTTGAAACAGCCAAAGGCACTGCAAAAAGTTGAAGCTATTCTGTAAAATGCATCTCTAGGCAACACCATAAATGACACTTGCATCATTCCAATTAATTAACGAGGAACGCTACAAATACAGTGTTGTTGACATCACTGTTGAAAGCCCTCTCACATTCAAGGGTGGGGCCAACAATTAAAATAATCGTGGGCTCTACATTTTGTGAGAGGGCTGTAAAAAAAAGTGTACAGCATTTTTGATAATTAACATTTCAAATGTCAATCAACTATTTAAAAATAGTTCATAAGCTAGTAGGCAAAATTTTATAGACTCAAAAGGCAGACAGTGCAATAACATGCCTGCACGATAGATAAATCTAGGTTCACTTTACTGGGGCACTTTCCATATAGTAGCTTCTTAGCTGGGTTAGAATTTTAAGCTCGATGGAAAAAAAAAAAAAAAAAAAACACACACATCAAAGATTCCCAAGAACATGAAGTAACAATACCAGAAAAAAAAAATCTTTATTTTTTTTAAAAAAAAAAAAAAAAAAAATTTTTAAGAAAAAAAAAAAAAAAAAAAAAAAAAAAAAAAAACACACACACACATCAAAGATTCAGATTCCTGTTAGAAGGTACCCCACAACAACTTACAACATCCGAGAGCTAAAGAGTTTTCCATGGATCCCAATTTTTCGAGCAGAAAAAGACTAATATTATTAGTTTCCATCTTCACAAAGAAAATTTTCCAATGCACACGAACAAAATAATAATAATAATAACAACAACATCTTTTAATTCCTGCTTAAGCAGAGTATTTACATGTTATTCTTATAACTACTTTTGTTTTACAAGAAGTTTGGAAAAGCCACAAGCATGCTTTTGTGACTTGTAACGACTTATAGGAGTCGTGCAAGGTTTTGCAAGAAAATGCATTTGATTTTTATACAAAAAACAGATATTTTTTAAAGTGGATTCAGTGTACCAGCCGTGGGATGGGAGGAAGCAACAGAGAAGTTCTTGTCCTCATCTTCGTGAAATTTTCGACCACAAATAGACCACAAAAAAACAAAGAAGTGCGAAAAGAACCACATGCATGACGTGATTTGATCCTTCCCTGATGATGCTCTTGTTCAGCCTCCTCATGTTATTTTTCACCCCAGCCTGAGCATTGATCAATGTCATTTGCTGTACAAACAAATAGAACAATCAACCAGACTTAGGTCATTTCAAACAAGATAATGCATTTAAGGATAAATACAAATGACGAACTTGGACAAAATTTCTAAAACAAGTTAATATTTTCAACAATGGGGGCCAAAAGGGGCAATGAACCTCTTACTTTGGAGAAATACAACAGAACTGCTCATTTCAATTTTTGAGAACTTAACAAAATCCTACCGCATGAAAATCAACAGCTTAAGAAATCACAAGTCTCCACATGATCAGAGTGTGATGAAGGGGAGGAATAGAAGGGCATAGAACCAGCTTAAAAGTAGAATACAGTGGAATAAAAGCATCAAACAAACTGGTATTCCCTTACCCTAAAAAGTCTCACCACTAATGCCGGAAATTTTTGTTCTCTTACCTTGCAGTCCTCGAACTGAATGGCACATGATCGAGTTCATAAAATATATCCAAAACAAAATCCATTAAAATACTCAGTTATGGCCTTAGACTCCTTTTCTAGATTTCTTCTCAAAAATACTTCCTATTGAACTTTATCAGGGTTTCTCATGATTTATTCTGGGCTTCATATTCCCATTTTCCTCGTCACTCCTTATTCCCATGCTCCAAATGACTCCAATATCAAAATTTAAATTTTCCTTTTTGAAGGTTTTGTTGGTACTATTAGAAGTGACATTTTTAAAAGCAAAGGATTGCCTAGCAGTATAGCATAAATCTTCTACGTCACCATTGTATTTGTAATTTGCAATATTTTTAATCTACAAATTGAATTATATGAACATCAAACTTTGCGGTCATGTAGCCTATTGCCTCAAAGCCCAATTCATGTGCACTTCGTCCAGTAGTCAACAACAATTAAGAAGTAAGGTTGCCAACTAAAACTGCAGCTAATTCCTCATCCACCCTTCCAGCAATTAGTGTACATGATATCAGTAATCAGTTGAGGCTCAATTCAGATTCAGGGTGTGTACAGTTTATGGCATACCAGCTGGTTGAGAAAATCATTCTGGTATTTCGCTTCGGATTCAATCTCTTGAGCTACCTGAAATATTAAATAGGAAAATAACTTAAAGCAAAAAATAGAAACAAAAGCTAACACAGTAGGCAAATTATAGCATAGAACAGGATCCACTAGTATGTAATGTAGGTGTTCCTAAGTGCGATGTCTATTAAATATCTGGAATACATAGTCATTAATTCACAAAGTGTACCCACAATGTGTACCAAAGAGCAAAGAACTCTTTCGCTTAAGCACAAAATGCAAAGTGATGCAAGAACCACATCTATGTGAAGAACATATATCCAGATGTCAAAAATCAATATGTGATGATAATTCATCATTATTAAGAAACTGAAAAAAAAATTTAGTAGTTGCAGCAAACATCAGTTGATTTTTCCACTGACTCAGCCAAAATTAGCACAAATTGATTTTGGATCAAGATTATTATGTTCAGACAACTAACATTTCAGCGGAACAAAAAGAAAAAATGATAAGAAAATAAACGTAGGGAAAAATTAACAAAGCAGTGGCTCAAATGAAAAGATCTCAAATTTTAATGCTCTGAGAAAACAACACTTGCAAAACTGCCAAAGCTTGCCTTGCTGCACTTTGTGCTCAGGTGTTTTCCTGGGCTTGCTTCTAAGAAACATGATAGACTAGAGAGCAAGTTGTGAATTACTCTTTTGGCAGTAAACTAGGAAATGCAACAGATCATCATCGATGATAATCAAGTCATTTTCACAACTAGAAACTTACAGGCAATCATCTTCACACGAAACATCAATTCACTTCACGGATCATGGGTCATACAGGTTAAGTATAATCAGCCGAAATACAAGTTTCACTAAATATTTTCCGTAGATTCAATGAGCATAACGTGATTAAAGGATGCAAATGTCACTGATAACTTCTAAACAATAGAGTATCAACTTCCAAAATCAAATGACTCCTCCGAAATACTTGCTGCATTGGTCTTATGAACTACAATTTATTAAATATGTTCGTATAGCTAAAAAAAAAAAACCCAGGGTGTCAAAAGGGTCAAATTTGATTACAAAACTGTTCAAATGATCTAATGAACCTAGTTACACATAATCATAACAGCTACAACACATTTTACAACAAAAACGTAAAATTCTTTGTCATGTAATATGATTATATTATATGCGTCTAATTTCAGAAAATAAATAGCAAAACATACATTTCTGAGTTGTCGAACTTGCTTGCGTAGACCGAAGACCTCCTCATCGAAATCCACGTGCATCGGATCAATTCTCAACTGGATTTCATCAGACTTACCGCTGACCGCTGCCGACCTCGTGCTTAATCCTTCCCTATTTCATCAATTAATAATCAATCCGAACCCAAAATCCACAAAAAGAAGGAAAAAATCTCAATTAAATTGAATTAATCGTAAGTGAGTAAATACTATATATCTTCAATTTGTGAAATACCTCGATCTATACGGACCAGCCATTATCGAAAAATTGAAAAATTTGGGGAACCTCAAAATTTTAGAATTATGAAAAAGCGGAGGGAATTAAACCATAATGGGTCATAATTGGACCACTCTCGTGGGCATATATTTTGGACATCTTACAAAAACTAAATTCTTTTGAAAAATCATATGAAAATTATTTTGGAAGTAAAAAAATATTTTTAAAGTTATTTGTTACTTTTTATTAGAAAATTTTGTCAAAAGTTATATCTCATTCATTAACAATTGATGTTTGTCAATCCAAAAAAGAACAAAATTTTAAAAATAAAATTAAATTAACAAATAAAAAAAAAGTGACAAACACTTAAAATGACAAAAATTCAAGAAGTGACAAACAATAAAAAATGATAGAAAGTGACATTGCCACTTTTTACTAAAAAATGAAATCCACTTGAGAAAATGGTCAAGTATAAACCAGAACACAATCTACATACTAAATACTAAGGGTATCGTTATTTCCATCTACACTTTTTATATTTACAGCCACTTTTGAGAATAAAATTTTATTATATTTTAAATTCTTGTAAAAATACGTAACTCTATATTCATCCACTTATTTTTATTTTCATTAAATTATCCTAAATCTTTTTACATTCTTTGTGTTTAACTAGAACCCTAATAATTCAAAGAAAATTACATGGATATGTTCAAAGCATTCTAATACTCAGAATTTCAATAGACAAAGAATTTAGTAAACAATGGCAGAGACGCCACTTGAACAAATATATAGAGACATAGCAATATATGAAGAAGAGTTTGAGAAAGTAAGGATTCGTGTTTTGTTGTTTGATTTTTGTTTGAATTTGGACGTTTTAATTTTCTTTTCTTGATTTTACCTATTATCCCTAAGTCTAACTGGTAAGAGCTTTTGGCTCGATGCCCATCGAGCAACTATGGTATGAAAACTCTTTCTTGATTGTTGTCTGGATTACCTTTGTTTTTCTCCTCTTTCAACTATGTCGGAGAGCTAATAGTGCCTATATCAAAAGTGATATTATATTTCTTAAGTTATTAACCACCCCACTTCTCCAAAAGAAAAAAAAAAAGAACAGAAAATAGTTTTTTTCTCTTTATCTAGTTTTAATTCTTTGCTGTACAAAATCCTAAGTTTTGGCACACGCATTGCTTTTTTCTAGAGTACAATGGCCTTAAATGCCTTTATTTGGTTACCCTTATCGAGGGGCTGCGGTGGAATTTTTTGTAGATATAGTACAAAAATAAATGATTGCTAAGTCGTTGAACAAGAAAGATAGCAAGATAAACTTTGAAAGTACATAATTATATGGTTTTGTTAATTGATAGTCTGTTCAGGGATTGTTTTTCATCAACTTTTAACCTTCAGACCCTAAAACCAAACTTGTTTTTCCTTTTATGACACGTTTGGTAAAGAGGATTGGATAACAATAGACAAGACCTTTTTTTGGGGTGTGGTTGGCATACTCGATGTCTCTGCTCTCTTTTTATGTTCACAAGATCTCTTCTTTTTCTTTTTTTTTTCTTTTTTTTTTTTGTGCTCCCAATTGTAGTGGGTTTTCCACAAGTATTTAGAAAAGTTCCAATTCATCTGCTATTTTGCATTTTTTTTATTTTGCTCTCAATTGTAGAGGGTTTCTTTACAAGTATTTAAAAAAATTCCAATTCATCTGCTATTTCGCATACTTGATGTTTTCATTGTTATCTTATTTACTTTTGAATTTATGTCAATGACATTATTTGACACAATACTTTTAATGTAGGATGCACCAACGCATAACTATGATGTGCAGAATGAATTATTTGTTGATTAGACGGATATATTTACGATAAACATGGTACGTAATGATTTTATTTTTAATATGATCATATATTTATACAAAAACATTTGATGTCAAGAATGAATTATTTATTGATTACACAGATATGTTTATGACAAACATGGTACGTAATGATTTTATTTTTTAATATGATCATATATTTATATTCAAATATTTGACAATAAACAAATGTTTTACAAGTAAAGAGGCATTGATTTATTGGGTTACAACTACTAGTAAGAGACATAACATGATTGTTGTTATGAAGAAGTCCAACTTAGGCCAAGTTGTGAGAAAACCAAGAATTGATTTCATGTTTAAAAGATATGGTTCGTATAGGTGTAGGAATACCAACAAAGAAAATGAAAAAGGGAAGAGATGTAGAGCTACTGGAACAAAAAAATGTGGATGCCCGTTCGCTTTGAATGGAAGAAAATTGATAAATGGTAATTATTTGGTATGAAAAGTGAAATGTGGAAAACATAATCTTGATATTGCCCATAACCTTGAAGGATGTTCGTATGCCAAAGACTAATTGAGAAGGATACTTCAATTTTCGTTGACATGTCAAAGAATCACGTAAGAACAAGCTGGAATGACATAAATGCAACAAATTATGAATAGGCCTATTGAGAATAAGTACATAAAGTGGCATTACGCATCTACGGAGACAAATATAGTTCAAAATTTGTTTCGGGCACATCCATATTCAGTAGATTTGTTGCAAGCATTTCCTCGTGTGATAATTATGGATTGCACATATTAAACAAATAGGTATCGCCTATCGTTGTTGAGGATAGTAGGTGTGACTTCTAATGATTTAACATTTTCGATTGCATTTGCATACTTGGCAAAAGAACTTGAGAAAAATTATACATGGGTTTTGGGAGAATTGAAGAGTCTAATGGATGATATAATAATGCCTAGTGGTATTGTTATCGACAAAGAGCTAACTCTTATGAAGGCCACTGAAAAATATTTTCAACATCTACTAAATTTTATGTAGATGGCACATTTGAAAGAATGTCTTGGCAGAAACAAACAATATATATATATATATATATATATATATATATATATATATATATTATTATTTTTTGGGAAGATCACAAGGACCAATGGGATACTTTTATGCATAGGTGGAATTTGTTAGTACTTTCAACATCTATAGAAGAGTATAAGCAAAATCTAAATCTCTTATATCCAATTTTCAACAGTTTCCACAAGCAATCAATTATGTCATGAATTCATGGTGTCTTAAATATAAAGAGTAGTCTGTCTCAACTTGAATTAATCTACATGTGCACCTTGGAAACACGACAACTAACAAGTAAATTGCTAATGCCATTATTAAATTGTTATATGTGAAGCCATGCTCAACAATTGTTTGTTATTTTTCTTTAATCATGCATTTGACATTGAAGGCTAACTATCCATTCTGTCTTTGATTATATGCTGGATCCAAGTTGCAAAATCAAATGCAATATGAAGCTATATTGTGACAATATGTGTCATGCAATTTGAGTATTCTATAATACTAGATATTTGACTTGTTTTTACTTAGATGCATTAACTGTGCTACTATACAGTGAATCTGATTTTTTTTATTGGTAGGGTTGAATCTGCACATGCAAAACTTAAGAGGCATCTAGGTTCTTCTCAAGGCAAGACACATCATGGACAAGAATTCATGCATTATTGGAACTACAACATACATATATTAAAGCTTCTTTTGAAAAGAGCTTGAGTATTGTCCAACATAATTTCAAACCTACCTTATTTAAAGAGCTTAGGGGATTTACATCAATAATTGCAATGAATTTGATATTTCAAAAGTTTAAACGAGCTGATGACATAGGGATTGACGAGGTAGCTTGTGGATGTGTTATACGAAAAACACATGGATTACCATGTGCCAATGAGATTTCATAGTATAAGATAGAATCTCGGCCCATTCCTTTATCAAGAGTATACTCTCATTGGAAGAAACTTGATCTAGTACCTCTTGATAAAGGTAACACATTAGAGATTAATTGTGCATCATTATTTGAGATGATTGAGAAGCATTACCAAGATAATAATGATCATGTGAAGTTAGATATTCTACAAAAATTGAAAGAGATTACTAGTCCGAGTTCTACATCATTAGTTTAGCCACAAGTTCAGGCTAAGACAAAGGGCCATCCATCTTCAAAGATAGATGTATCTACTCGTCGTATTTTGAGTTAATGCTATCTGGACAAGAAAATATGTTACAACAATTGAATAGTTCCATTAAGTCTTTAAGTCAACCTACACTATTAAAGCCAGCCTTCAATTCAACAAAAACAAAAAGTGTATTGAGCTCCTGGATCAAAGTCCATGGCTTATTTTGTTTCATTTCCTATTCATTTGAGACCTTACATAATTGGTGTGAAAGATGTAGCCTCAGATGACAATTGCGATTTTTGGGCCGTGGCTAATATTTTAGGCATATGTGAAGATAATTAGTCTTTGGTCAAAAAGGACCTATTAAAAGAGCTTGAATCTCAATTTGATGATTACTCTGGACTCTATGGAAATGATGATCTGGTCCATGAGTTGATTCATTCATTCTTTCAATTTAATGGCTATGCTAGTTGTGAGTATTGAATGACCATGCCAAATATAGGTCATTTTATTATTTCTAGATATAAGGTTATTCTTATTCACTTGAGCCAACAACAATGTCTTACATTTCTTCCACTTTAGGACGAACCCCTTGCAATTGTATCTCATAAGATGTTGCAATTGAATTTGTTAATGGCTACCATTTTGTCTCGGTAAATATTTATAAAATTAATTAAATGATATTTCTAGATACGTTTTTCTATGTAATTGTGTGCAAATAAATTGGCATACCATCATCCATGTGGAGAGGGCTTGGCTACACCTTATCATACTAGGACGCAATTTTTTAGGTCCTTAGTAGAAGAAGATGTAGCTATATCAGAGATAATTAATTTGGATAAACCATAAGAACAGTTAATGATAACACCATTATTATTGTTTGAACAGTTAATTGATCTGTTCGCTAGTATTTAATTACCGATCACATTATGATCCCATGGATTTGGGATGGAGAAAAGCTTGATGAAGATTTGTTTTGGTTATGTTTATGTGTTGGTTCTTGGCAATGTCAGTGTGATTGGTTTTATATATATATATATATATATATATGTATGTATTGGTTCTTGGCAATGTCAGTGTGAGCAGTTGAATTGAAAATATGTGTGTGTGTGTGTGTGTGACTTTTCATTTTTATGATGCAATATTATTTAAAAGTCTAAACCTACTAATCGAATCGAGCGAAACCGAATTGATTTGATTTG